ACCACCACCACAACCACAACCACAACCACAACGACCACCACCACAACCACAACGACCACGACCACTACCACAACGACCACGACCACCACAACAACGACCACGACCACCACAACAACGACCACGACCACTACCACTAGCACAACCACAACGACCACGACCACAACGACCACCACACTTGGGCCACAGCAGGACTGAGCGGGGGTTGCTTTGTGTTAAGAAGTTTCTTTCTTGGTCGCTGGGCGGTGATGGCCGCAAGCACATGACTCGTCATTCAACTGCGTTTGCCATGTAAATCTGAACCGGAGGATGTGTTCTGGCAGTCTGGTGGCGATTTTTCAGGCGCCGCAACCTGGCTTCTGAATATACAGGCGATCAGCAACTCGGCGCGAAATTGTACCAGCTAGGTCTTTAAAGGTGCTCTTGTTGATTCGTGATTATATATATAGTTGTTGTAACTATATATATTTATGATGAATTGACCAAGCCGAGCAGTGTTGGGTGGTTGCCTGTTGTAGGTTACTGCCCCAAAGCCCTGTCGTCGGCGGACAGAGTCGACCACCGGATCTCATTTAACCTTGGAAGTGCAAGGCTACTGAAAGAAGAAGGGTTTGACTAGGTGATCGGAAGAGTCCCACATACAGGTCCCTGAGAGTCCAGTCAACTATTGAAACGTGGCCGAGTCTTGGCTTGAGGTGATCTGAGTTGAGGAATTTCATCAAACCTTCGGCGGTGAAATGCAAAGACTTTAAGGTAGCCCTCCAGCCTAGCTCGATGGCCCTCAACCTAATAGCGATGGCCTCCATCCTCATAGCGATGGCCTCCAACCTAATAGCGATGGCCTCCAACCTAATAGCGATGGCCTCTAACCTATTAGCGATGGCCTCTAACCTAATAGCGATGTCCTCCAACCCAGTAGCGATGGCCACCAACCGAATAGCGACGGCCTCCAACCTAATGGCGATGGCCTCCGACCTAATCGCGATGGCCTCCAACCTAATATAGCGATGGTCTCCAACCTAATGTAGCGATGGTCTCCAACCTATAATAGCGATGGCCTCCAGCCTGACTCCAACCTAATAGCGATGGCCTGCAACCTAATAGCGATAGCCTTCAAGCTAATGGCGTTTGTCTCCAAACTAATAGCCATGGCCTGCAACCTAATATAGCGATGGCCTCCAACCTAGTAGCGATGGCCTGCAACCTAATAGCGATGGCCTCCAACCTAATAGCGATGGCCTCCAACCTACAGCAGCGATGGCCTCCAACCTATAATAGCAATGGCCTCACACCTAGTAGCGATAGCCTGCAACCTAATATAGTGATGGCCTCCAACCTAATAGTGATGGCCTCCAACTTAACAGCGATCGCCGCCAACCTAATAGCGATGGCCTCCAACCGAATAGCGACGGCCTCCAACCTAATACTGATGGCCTGCAACCTAATAGCGATAGCCTCCAAGCTAATGGCGATGGTCTCCACACTAATAGGGATTTCCTCCAACCTAGTAGTGATGGCCTCCAACCTAGTAGCGATGGCCTCCGACCTACTGGCCTCCAACCTAATTGCGATGGCCTTACACCTAATAGCGATGGCCTCGAACCTATAATAGCCATGGCCTGCAACCTATAATAGCGATGGCCTCCAACCTAGTATAGCGATGGCCTCCCACCGAATAGCGATGGCCTCCAACCTAATAGTGATGGCCTTCAACTTAATAGCGATGGCCTCCAACCTCTTACTTCGATGGCCTCCAACCTATAACAGCGATAGTCTGCAACCTATAATAGCGATGGCCTCCAAACCAATAGCGATGGCCTCCAACCTACAGCAGCCATGGCCTCCATCCTATAATAGCAATGGCCTCCATTATAGTAGCGATACCCTGCAACCTATAATAGCGATGGCCTCCAACCCAATACAGCGATCTATAGAGCCATGGCCTCCAACCTATAATAGCCATGGCCTCCATTCTAATAGGGATAGCCTGCAACCTATAATTGCGATGGCCTCCAACCTAATATAGCGATGGTCTCCAACCTAATATAGCGATGGCTTCCAACCTAGTAGCGGTAGCCTGCAACCTATAATAGCGACGGCCTCCAACCTAATATAGCGATGGCCTCCAACCTAATAGTGATGGCCTCCAACTTAACAGCGATCGCCGCCAACCTAATAGTGATGGCCTTCAACCTAATAGCGATGGCCTGCAACCTAATATAGCCATGGCCTCCAACCTAGTAGTGATGGCCTGCAACCTAATATCCAACCTAATAGCGATGGCCTCGAACCTAATAGCGATGGCCTCCAACCTAATATAGCGATGGCCTCCAACCTAGTAGCGATAGCCTGCAACCTACAACCTAATATAGTTTTGGCCTCCAACCTAATAGCTCCAAGATGCAGATGCTGGCATACGATGGTCGAACTGGACTTGCAGGGTTACGACATTTGTGCAATGCTCGACGTCCCAGCTCAGGCAATCCCGATGTCCCCTTTCAGTTTAACTTTGATGCTGAGGCCACTGGTGCTAATGGCTTGGGGCAGCAGGGGTTTTGCTTCAAAGACAAAGTGGCAGGTTTCGTTTTAGGGCACTCTGGATGCTTGTGATCACTCCACTTACTGTACCGCTAGAAGACTGATAATATGATATATCCCTTTGAACTCCAATTCTTCCTAATACCATCACAACCATCAGCAACCATCCCATATCATCACGTAGGCATCTCCGGACATGGAACCGTGCCACGACCACTACCGTGCCTCCTTCCCCGGACCCCGAGTATCGACGTTCGGGACCGCTTCGATTGGACCCCACCGACTGAAAGGCAGGTGGGCTTGGGGGTCCGAGGATGCGTTTTTGGTTCTGTCTAAGGGTGGTTTCTGTTGTTTTGTGAGGATGCAAGACTTCTCTTTCCTTGTGCATGAGGTCACCACCAGCTTCGGTGGCTTTGAAGCAGTCTCCGATCCTCCCTTCTCTGTGATGACGGTGGTCACGCAGCCCTACAGCTTCGATTCAGGAGTGAAGTTCAATACCATCTCTTGGGGCTTGTTACCTCTTGTCGAGCCTCCAGTGACCAAAGTGGAAATTGGAGGGACGAACTTTATTGCTGACACTTGGCGTTCTACATGCCGGTCCAACTGGACGTTCTACGGGCAGCCCATCGCTTTCGTCCGCTTGGAGGCCATCGCTAGTAGGTTGGAGGCCATCGCTCCTAGCTTGGCAGTCGTGCCGGTCCGCTTGGCCGATAGATGTTCTACATGATTCTACAGGCCCTTTCTGTGTTTGGATTTCGGACGGCTTACGCATACTGCGGGCGCAGTCCGTCCACATTTCGCCAAGGATACGGTTTCGGTCTTCCAGACAGAGGCTGATGTGACTCCAGCTTATAAATTGGTTCTTACCGGTTGGACGCTCGCTGTGCAAGAGGGCAAGCCCGTGGGACACCCGGTCGCTCGCTGTGAGACTTTGATTGGAACCCATGCTTTGGGGAATGGAACCCAAAAATACCCCCTTAACCCCTCTCAACAGCAAACAATATGTTGAATGGAACCCCAGTAGGGTCTGCGATGTTCGGTGACTGAAGGTATCCTTTCCATGTTAAGATGGTGTGTTTCTCGGAAACAACAACCTCACCTGATCTCGTGACGTTCTTCAGACTTGTCCATTTTGCACTGAACTGCATCTCTTTGGTTCAGGGTGAACTTCTCTAACGCATGTCGAAGTCCAAGCCCGAAACATTATTGAATTATTGTTCCCCAAACAGGTTCACCTGTGAGGGGTTCTTACTCCTTTTAAAGGGGTGCATGCTCGGGCCGGATGATTTTGAGTTTGTCTCCGGGCTTGTGTTCCTGGCCGCATGATTTCACCCTTGTCTCCCACTTGTCTCCCACTTGTCTCCCACTTGTCTCCCAGTAAGCTCTGGATGCTCTCAGTGCTCTGGCCGCATGATTTTTTACTTGTCTCCCATTCGTCTCCCATTTGTCTCCCACTTGTCTCCCAGTTGTCTCCCAGTAAGCTCTGGATGCTCTCAGTGCTCTGGCCGCATGATTTCCACTTGTCTCCCAGTAAGCGCTGGATGCTCTGAGTGCGCTGGCCGCATGATTTCACACTTGTCTCCCATTTGTCTCCCACTTGTCTCCCACTTGTCTCCGAGTAAGCTCTGGATGCTCTGAGTGCTCTGGCCGCATGATTTCACACTTGTCTCCCACTTGTCTCCCAGTAAGCTCTGGATGCTCTGAGTGCTCTGGCCGCATGATTTTATACTTGTGTCCCATTTGTCTCCCACTTGTCTCCCACTTGCAGTAAGCTCTGGATGCTCTCAGTGCTCTGGCCGCGCTCTGGCCGCATGATTTTATACTTGTCTCCCATTTGTCTCCCATTTGTCTCCCACTTGTCTCCCAGTTGTCTCCCAGTAGGCTCTGGATGCTCTGAGTGCGCTGGCCGTACTTGTGTCCCATTTGTCTCCCACTTGTCTCCCACTTGTCTCCGAGTAAGCTCTGGATGCTCTGAGTGCTCTAGCCGCATGATTTCACACTTGTCTCCCACTTGTCTCCCAGTAAGCTCTGGATGCTCTGAGTGCTTTGGCCGCATGATTTCACTCTTGTCTGCCATTTGTCTCCCATTTGTTTCCCACTTGTCTCCCAGTAAGCTCTGGATGCTCTGAGTGCTCTAACCGCATGATTTCACACTTGTCTCCCACTTGTCTCCCAGTAAGCTCTGGATGCTCTGAGTGCTCTGGCCGCATGATTTTATACTTGTGTCCCATTTGTCTCCCACTTGTCTCCCAGTAAGCCCTGGGTGCTCTGAGTGCGCTGGCCGCATGATTTTATACTTGTCTCCCATTTGTTTCCCACTTGTCTCCCACTTGTCTCCCAGTAAGCTCTGGATGCTCTGAGTG